GCTCCGAAAGTAATCAAAAATAAAGATGGGAAATTGATAATAAAGGAAAAAGAAATAATGAATTTCAGGAGCTCAATTTTAATCCCCACATACTACATCTAGGCGAACATTCCCCATGTCAAAACTTGTACAACCTATAACAGAACAAGAAATAATCACATGCCTCAAGCATATGAAAAACAACAAAGCTAGGGGTCCAGACGATATTCCAATAGAAAGCATTAAAGCACTAGGAGATGATGGAATACATTTCCTCACAAATCTGTACAAAAAAATATTTGGAAATGAAGAGGTTCCCCAAAAATGGAGGCAGAGCTATCTAGTTCCTATCTTCAAAAATAAAGGGGATCCACACAATTATCAAAATTACAGGGGCATAAAACTAATGTCACACTGTCTAAAACATACGAAAAAATAATAGAAATGACATAATCGAAATAGGAGAGACTCAGTTTTACTTTATGCCTGGAAGATCAACAACTGATGCTATCCACGCAATTAGGCAAATGAGTGAAAAATACAGGGAAAAGAACAAAAAGCTACACATAGTCTTTCTCGATCTAGAAAAGGCCTTCGATAGAATCCCAAGAAAACTTATCTGGTGGGCGCTACGCCACAAATAGGTTCCCGAAAAATATATAAGAATAATATAGGATATGTATATGGGCTATACAACAATGGTCCGTAGCACAACAGGTACTTCAGCAGGCTTCACAATAGCCGAAGGAGTTCATCAAGGGTCGGATCTCAGCCCACTTCTCTTCATTACAGTAATAGATGTATTAGCACAGTATACCTCCCGTGGAATATGATATTTGCAGATGATAGTGATACTTGCCGAATTTAAGGATGAAATGAAAGAAAGATTAGTGATCTGGATAAATATCCTTGGAAAGCACGGACTAAAAGTACATAGAGAAAAGACGAAGTATATGGTGATAGGAGGAGATGAAACAGAGAGTATTGATATAAATGAATGGCAGATATCCGGCAATTGAAAGCTGCAAATATTTTGGCTCCACTATACAAACCAGGGTTGGCATGTCGGTCAATTGACTGGTCAATTGACCGGAGGAATATTTGACCGGTCAAATACAGTCAAATACTCTAAAATATTAATGGCGAATAAATATTTTGATATAATTAACTAGTATGCATTAAAAGCATGTTTATCAATCTTATGAGGTTACAATTATTTAAAAAATTATTTGTATCATGAATTGTTAAAAACAAAAGAATTTTTTTATTGTTAAAATATAAATATGTAATTTTCCTAAATATAGTAATATTTTTAGTTATTTTTTTGCCTAATCATTGCCGTTTCTCGCCTTCTTCATTTTTTTCAATTCATTTTTCTTAAAAAAAATAAAAATACCCGATTTATTATAATCATAATATAATTTTTTCATTCTTATTTTTTAATAAATTTAAATTTTATTTAATATTTAGCCGAGTATAAATTATATTAATTCTCATTGGTTTTACTTACACTTGCTATATTTGGTTTTTAAAATTAATTTTCATTTTAATTGTTCTGGTCAGATTTACGGAATATTATTCAATTCTGGTAAAAAGTTATATATATTATATTATATTTATAATATTAAGAAATTATTGGAATAATTGGTCGATAATTATAAAATAGTTAAGATTGATTAACTTTACAATAATCAAAATCATTTTTTGTTAAATTTTAATATATTAGGGATTATGGTCAAACCAAAGCATCATGTTTGGAAACATTTTCAAGAAGTACGCGATGGTAAATCAGTTAAAGCGGTGTGCAAGTTTTGCAAGATGTCCTATATCACCCACGTTGATAGAATGGTCAAACATTTATTAGGCAGCTGTACTATGTGCCCTGTTATAATTAAGGAAAAATTTTATTCAAATTCCAAAATATCAACCTCTACAAAAAATATCACAAATGTAATTTGTAATACTTCTAAGTCTAACTCTAATGAAGAATTGGGTGAAATTAGTGAGAATGATTATCAAATGAACAATATTTTGTCTTGTGACTCAGGAGAATTTGATTCCATTATTTCTAATCAATCTACAAGCAAGGCGATTAAATATAAATCTCAATCTTGTATAACCGGTTTCATAGATAGAATTAATCCCAAAGAAAAAAATGAGCTGGATCAATTGTTTGCAAAGGCTGTATATGCGAGCAATTTACCTTTCCACATCACTGAAAATCCCTACATCCAAGAATTTTTTAAAAAAATACGTCCTATTTACACATTACCCAGGAGAAGGCAGCTGGCTGGATATCTTTTAGACAAAGCGTCAGGTGATATGGAGGTGAGAGTTGCAGATATAATAGATAAAGCTCCTTACTTATCAATTGTATCAGATGGCTGGAGCAACATTAGAAACGAGAGTATTATTAATTTTATGGTGATGACGCCTGTTCCAGTGTTCTACAAATTTCTAAATACTGAGGAAAATCGCCATACGGCAGATTATATTGCCCAGGAATTTAAAAATGTAATTCATGAATTGAATCCGGTAAAAGTATATTCTTTAGTTACTGATAATGCCGCTAACATGAAAGCAGCCTGGAGAATTCTAAAATCTGAATCTATTTATAATCATATAAAATGTTATGGTTGTGCAGCGCATACATTGCAGTTATTCTTTCACGATTTTGAACGATTGAACGCCTTCAGTGACCATATTTTAATAATTAAAAAAATTGTTAAATTTTTCAAGAATAAACACATACCAGCTGCAGTATTTTCCCGTAATAAGAATCTTCATGGCATACCATCTACATTAAGTACAATTAGCCAAACAAGATGGGCATCGTCAATAAAATGTATGGAACAAATTCAAATATGCAAGAAAGCTCTAAAAGCATCAGTTGTTGAAGAAGCTGTTTGTGATATTTGTCCCATAGAAATTACCAATAATATATTAAACGAAGAATTTTGGACGCCTTTAGCTACCTCATTGTTGAAAGTGCAAGGGGATAAATGTACTTTGGCCCAAGTAAAAAACGAGATGCTTAATTTGGAAAAACACATAATACAATCATGCTATGATTCTATATTTTCTCCATCTCAAGAAAAAAAAATTAAGGTTATGTTTGAAAAGAGAAAAACTGATCTAAATACATGTGCTCACAATGCTGCTTATTTATTGGACCCCCAATATCAAGGGGAGCATCTTACTATTACTGAATTTGATGAAGCATGTAATATAATACAAGAATTGGGTATTTTACAAGGTGGTGATAATCAAAATATTTTGAGTAATATAGTAAATTTCAGAAGCAAAAGCGGTATATTTAATAGCCATAATATGTGGAAAGTTGTAACTTCCATAAGAAACAATCAAATTTCGGCCTCAAGTTGGTGGAATGCATTTTGCCCACCTTGCCCATTAAGAGAAGTCGCTAATATTTTACTAACATTTCCTAGTTCGACTTCTTCTTCTGAAAGAAATTGGTCGGTTTAGGGCAATATTCACACGAAAAACAGAAATAGATTAAAGGCTTCTACAGCAGGAAAATTAGTAAGAGTGTATCATATAAGATTGATTAAAAATATTAAAGAAAATAATGATATTGAATATGAATCGGAACAAGACTCTGCCACGGAGGGTGAAACATTGACTATAGAATGAATTAAAAAATATTATATTTATTATTATACATAGATTTATTATAATATTATATAAATGCAAAATAAAGTTAATATTGGTGTAAAAAACATTTATTTGAATTTGACCATATTTGACCGGTCAAATATCGGTCAATTGACCGAATTGTATTTGACCGGTCAAATGCACAACCCTGATACAAACAAATGGCACAATAGAAAAAGAGATAAAGAGTAAAATTAATCAAGGGTGGTTAAAATGGAGATCTTTATCTGGAGTGCTATTTGACAAAAGAATCCCACACAAATTAAAGGGAAAAATTTACAGTTCCATAGTACAACCAACTATTCTATATAGTTCGGAAACATGGCCAACCAAGGAATCAGAAGAGAGAAGTCTAACAAACTATGGAGATGAGAATGCTGAGGATAATGCTGGGGTAACAAGATAGGATAAAGTGTGCAGTACAAGAATACTAAGTAGTTTAAAGGTAGTGCCCATTAAGACTAAATTAATGGTAAACAGACTTAGGTGGTATGGGCACACATTGAGAAGGCCTATGAACTACATAGGAAATAAGGTTGAGAGTTTGGAAGTGATGGGCAAACGTAAAAGAGGAAGGCTAAAACATCAATGGGACCATAATGTTAGAGTCAATATAAAGAAGTATAAATTAGATAAAAGAGATTGTATAAATAACATAAAGTGGAGAGATGTTGAAGTACCACCAGAAAAGGTGAAAGCTAAAGAGAAAAAAAATATATTTTAGCAGACATATTAAAAAGTAGCCTAAAGTATGAAGAGTTTGGCGTGGGAATTTTCGAAAGTTTTTTTGTCCATGAGTTTTTTGTGGAGTCTAGTCCGAAAAATAATTTACTACAAGTTAGTTTAGGTGCAATTGTGCAAAATATTTATATTTATTAAATTAGTCTCTAATTATACTAGCCCCAGTAAGAAACTCAGGCTCCCACAAATAATTTTGGTAAAATTAAAAGACAAACACTTTCCTATATTAATTAATTAAAATTTTTCTAATTCTAGCCCAGCTTTGAATGAATTCGCTGATTTATTGTCAAGCATTAACGATAATATATTCAGGCGTAAGCAGTAATGTTTTCGCTATAATATATACGCGTTAAAGCATTTGTGGCAATGATTTTATGGTAATACATTCGCTGTAATATTTTCGCGGTAATTCATTTGCAATGTTTTAGTGGGAATACATTTGCATAAATATCTTTTAAGCAGTAATGAAAAGGTATTGCCGTAATGACGTGATACGGGAATTTATGCATCGTAGTATAAATTATAACGAATTAACATAATAATTTTCTCGCATTTCTTAATCCTGTCTAGGCCCTCACTAAATTTATAAAATAAACATAACAAACTGTATCTCTATCACTCCCAACATCTACAAGATTTGAGGAAATGGAAAATTCTTTTGATCCATTATGAGTAATATCCTTATTCTTTTCTAATTTCGTGATATTTTTATGGCCTTCAGTCTGTTCTAGGATATAGTGTTGAGTTTGCATTTCGAAAGGATCATGAGAAATATTGTGTTCGATGACAGCCGTTATTACGTCATCCAAGGTATTACTAGGGCTCAAATGTTGAAAATAATTTACAGCGCTTTTCTTTTTGCTATCAATATTCGAGTCGCTAAAATCAATATGTTCATCTTAAATTTTATATTTTTATAAAAAAAAACTTTTAAATTTCTTATGTTTTCAATAAAGTTAAAATGATTTCGATGATTTGCGGTCCTAACTATGTGAATTTGGGTTAATGATAGGTATTCCTTTATATTTGTTTATTTTTCATTTGAATAGATACTGCCAAATTTATTTATGAAAAATGAAAAGCGCCTAGACCTAACCGGCAAGAGCGTCGCTTGGAAATCCGAAGGTTCTGGGTTCGAATCTTAGCAAAGATCATGTGTTTTTCTAAAAACAAGTTGGTAGTTCAGTATGATATATAAGAGATCCGATTCAACCAAGTGATTCCATTAATGTATATTAAATAATAAGAGGACCTTATTAAAATTTAATAAATTTTGGTCGGTATTTAGCAAATTAGGTTGTTATTTAGAGAATTGCTATAAGTTGAGTTGGCAGTATCCATCGTTAACCGTGAATTTAAAGGTTATATTAAAGTGAATTTGCTCATTGTTAAATACCTTCATAATAGGACCATTTTTTAAAAAATAACCCATTAAGCCCGAAAGTAATGTGAACTAAAATATATCAAAATTTTAGTCTCTATAAGACCTGAAGGTATTTTTTCAGAAATATCGTAAGAAGTGTTTTTCAACGCTACATCGGCCAAAACTCTGAGTGAAGAATTGCTATTGGTTGAATTATTTTTAGCATAATCGATATTGGTATCATTTTTCTCCGTGGTATTGTGGAAGTTTTGTTGAAAAAATAACTTGGAAAAATCGAAAAATGATTTCTAAACAAATTAACAAATTAAATATCCTTAATCGTATTATTTAGTATAAATATTCTATATGAAATCCATAAATGTTTGGTTTGAACAACTTCACATATTTGAATTATTCATATGAAATAAAATTACATTGTATTTTATTGAGGAAAGGACTAATTCTAATAAAAGGCATATTTTAAGTCATCATCTTATTGTATAAAAAATTAAACCTTGCAAAACCCGTTAATAAATTTGGATTGCGGTTGTGAAATTTTACCATTGATGGAAGTTTTTCTAAAGCAATTTTCATCACTAAGTGACCGTTTTAAATTATATTTGACTGATAGCTTTTCACAAGTTTGGATTATTTCGGTTAACGCTTTAAAAAAAATTTAATTTTTGGCATAATGTAGTTGTGCTTTATCTTTAAATTTTGCATTCTGGTATAATTAAGTTAATTCAAACTTATTAGAATAAAATAATAATATAGCGAAGGCGAGAGATTTAGAGGGGGCAAAAGTTAACAAGAATATATTCAAAGCTTGATAAAGGATTATAAAATAATATTATAAAGATGGCCTGACTTGTAGGAAAAGAAGGGTATGAAATAAGGAAATGCAAACAGAGAGTTTTAATGAAAGTTGCAAGATCGTAAAAGATAAAGAAACATTGCTATAATTTTTTATACCAACAAGCAACAAGCATCGATTTTATGGATAATTCAAAATAAATTCTGACCAAAAAATTAATATAAGAGTTAAGTATTATAAATAAATTAAACCTATGTTAGGTATAATATGTGTTGGCATTAATTTCCAAGTTTCGTGGCTTTGCTTATTGGTACATGCGGGCCAAGGAAATATTTCGTGCATCTTATCAACACTCATTATATCCGGTTTAAAATCGATTGACGTTATATCTTTATCTCTGTATATGATAGTTTTGTAAATCAATTTTCAAATGAAAATCATTTTATTTACCAAAACCTTTCCAACGCATTTAAATAAAAAATATTGTAAGATAAGTCGATATTTTATTTATGCTCAGAGGTATATCATAGTATTTCTATTTATGTATTTTTAAAGATTAAGCCATTTAGCTAGAGTATTTAAATAATAGTATATATTAATTTTTAATTCTATAATTATTATATTCTCTTAATGAATCTGGCATACATAATGGGAAGGGGGGGGGGGTAAAAACGAATTTTTTTAAACATAAAAATGAAACAGAGAAAGCAAGTCTAAATATATTTATAACATTTATAAACAAATGCATTCAAAATGAAATTCGTGGGTAATATTCTTTTTGAAAAAATTATGGTGAACGGCGTTCTTTTTATTTTAGACAAATTTAGAACGTAAACGTATTTATTTTTTTATCTTTTACGTTCATTAAATTTTTATTTTTAAAAATAATCTTGTATAGGGTTTTATTTTCTTAATCACCTGCCTCCTTCAAATTAGCACGTTTTCCTTTCTGATACCTTGTCCTAGCTTGAGTAAATTAGTTACGGATTTAGTCAACAAATTTTATATTAATGTTATTTAGCATAAGTCTCCAGGTTGCATAACTAAAATTATTATAACTAATTTTCATGAACTAAATTTCTAAATCAAGTCAACTATTTTAAATGAATAAGAATTTATTAATGATATCAAAGTACCAAATTTATCATGAAGCCCAAAAAAATGCACTGTAATAATATTAAGAACAGATTTTTTTTAATATATTCATGAATAATAATAATTTTTCAATTAAAACTTTTATTTTCTATAATTATATTAATAAGTATTCATATTAGAGGTCTGCAGTTCGGTCCGCTTCAGCCTTTTAAGTAGGGATGATTCGATATTTTATATCGGATCGGGCTTATATTTCACCCATTTTGAAATATCGGTTATAGGCAAATTTTATGAAATTTGATCCGATATAAAATGGCGTCGTTAACAAAAATAAAATGTTATAAAATTTTTTAAAAAGTTATATTTAAAATCATATATTTTTATAAATAAAATCGAAATCCATTTTTATGTATATTTTATTTTTTTTAATAATAATAAATTAATAAACATTCTGCCATATTGTTATTTTTTTGTGCATTCTGTTTAAAAAAGTGTGAGATAATCCCTTCAGAATATGTTTTTAGTGATGCTGGTGATATTGATAGTTACCATCGCTGCAGGCTGACTTCTGATAAATTTGAAATTTTGATATTTATAAAAAGAAATCTTCGAGGTTCGGGTGCGCTCTATATACTCTTAAAAATATCAAAAAGGCAAATAAGCTAAAATGGCTGTCAAAATGGCCCCTATTAGTTTGAAGTGAAAGATTTAAAAAAATATTAAAAATATAACTTTTACAGATTCGATAGATTTTACTATTTAAGTATTTAATATTAAATTAATATTATATAAAGAAAAATTTATTAATTGTATTAATATAAATTTTAGTAAATACCTTTATTTAATATAATTACATAATTAAAATTAAAATCAAATTCAATATAAATGGTATTAATATAAATTTTAATAAATATATAATTGTAATATTTAACATAATATAATTTTAATATAATATTTAAATTAATTAATATATTTAATTTAAATTAATAAAGAAAAATATATAAATTGTATTAATATAAATTTTAGTAATTTATAATTGTAATGTTAAATATTTTTTAAATTTTTATTTAAAATTTCATAATATATTTGTTTATTACTTATTATGTATATAGATTAATGTTATATAAAAGTGATTTAACAATAAAATATTTTATATACTTTTAGAATTGCAATTAAATTGAATATAAAATATAACTGATTATTATAATATATTTAAATGACATAAGTTATGGTATAGTTAAATATAGATGTTATACAAATAAAAAGTATATTAGAAATTAAAACCATTGGTATACAGGATACAAAATTAGTAGGATCGGATCGGTTGTACTTGATATCTGTATAATTTGAAATTGGAACATGTTATAAATAATTTGTTTAATTTTTGTGTATTTAATATTATCTATATATTTATTATTTTATTTAGACAGCTCCTGAAATACAAAAAAATAAGCATATTGTAATATATTTTCAAGTAGTTTCATTCAAAATATTAGCTTGATATTCAATAAAATACATAAGTATTTATGCCGAGCTAGCCTATTAAAATTTTACTGAAAATCAGAGATTTGCGAGACGCCTGCATTTATATATAATTGTCCGGCCCAGTCAGAAAAATTTTTATACATGGATTGCCTGGACCATTATAATTTTCTGTTTAATTTCCCTGCGGGCTTTCCAGATCTGCACAAGTCATTACAATATTTTACAATAATAACTATGTATATATATTTATTATGTAAAATATTTTAAAATTTTATAAACAGATAAAAAAAAAATAGTAATTGTATTTACACTGTATATTATGGCAAAATAACTTTCCAAAATTTCAAATTAAAAATGATATAGTTAATTAATTCTTAAAGTTCAGCCTATATGATATAACATCTTTTAATAAATTATGCAAAACTATTATTTCCTCCCAAAATTAAAATTTTTATTTATTAATTATAATACAACCATCCCATCCTCTGGGCCAGTTGAACGCAGGGTTTCGAACCGTTTAGTATAACGGTTCGGTTCGTTCCGGTTTTTAGTTTAAAATTTTATAAAGGTTTTGTTCCATTTCGGTTTTTAAAAAAAAAAATCATATCGGTTCGGTTCGGTTTATAATTTATAACGGTTCTTTTCGGTTTGTTCCGGTTTTTATAAATTTAATTTTAAAAAAAATTAATCATTAACCATGTATATATTAATTTTAGAGAAAAATCTTTTTATAATTTCTTATTTAAAACCATGAATGATAATCTAATAGATATTTTTATTAAACTTAGTAAATATAAATTAGACAAATCAATTCTTTTTATTTCATAAATAAGATAAACACAAACATGCGCAAATACAATCAGGAATAAAATAACACATAAATATAATGAAATTTATATTATTTATTTTTAAAAAGAGAATTGGAACGGATAACTAAAATATTTTCTAATATTTCAGGATTTAATTTAGTTCTTTGGGCAGAGAGTATAAACTTAAGGCTAGAAAATGCTCTTTCTACGGATACCTGCGTAGCTGGAACTGCTAGCACAACCATAGCTAACTTATAAAGTTCTGGCATACTATTCTTTACATTTCCCCAATAATTCAAAAGATTTGCATCTTTTTCTAATCTCTCTATATTATCAAATGACCGAATTATATACTCTATTTCTACACATTTATTATAATTTTCTATGCCCTGAGAACTATTCTTATTAAGGCTTTCATGAGACATTAATAAATCTTCAAAATCATCATCTAAGTTATCTTTCGAATGTGAACACGTAGGAATAGTATCTAGATTTTCAATATTCTGATTATTTAAATTTTGGATTAAGTTCCAAGTTTTATAGAGATGTTTTTTGGCGATATCTTTTTCTTCAAATGATAAAAATACATTATATCTTGGGTCGAGATATATAGCTGAGCAAAAAACTTCATTTTTCAAATTAATCTCTCGTGCTTTGATTGTACAAACTAAAAGTTTGGCAAATGAAGTGTCTATTTTGCTAGTTTGCATGATACATTTGATCCATGCTGCATAAAAATCGCCCATGGTCATTTGTTCACTTTGTATATATTTTGTCAAAATATAAGATGGATATAAAGCTTTTAATATATCACTAATTATTTTCCATTCATTCTCTGACAAACATTTTTCACGATCATTACTTTGGGCCGATATTTCTTGGCAAAAGTTTTTTAACTCTAATAATCTTTCCAACATTAAATAGATTGAATTCCATCTTGTGCAACAATCTATTAGTGGCTTTTTTAAATTTAATTTGGACAAAATAGACATTGTAGTCTGATTTCTTATTTTTTTGCAAATGTTTCTTGCTTTATTAATAATAACAATTTCATTTGAATTTTTTATGCAATCATTAATTGCTAATTGAAATGTGTGGGAGGCACATCTAATGCCCATTAACATGGATCTCGTATGAGGTACAAGATTAATATTTTCAATATTAAAAAAAGGTTCTTCATTTTCATTAACAATTATATCATCATTGTTATTTAAATTATCATTATCTAAATAATCATTAAGGATATCATCTTCATCATCTTCTTCATCATGATGTATTAACAGCTTAATTAATTTAATCATGTTAGCTGCATTGTCTGTGGTTATCGTATAAATTTGATCAATTCTTATTTCATGTTCGTTTAGAACATCTAGAATAATTTTTTTTAGATATTCTGATGTATGTCTTTCTTTTATCTCTTTCATGCATAACGTTCTTAATTTTATTTCTCCATTATCTATAAATTGAATATTGATCCCCAGTATGGACCTATCATATCGAGTTGCAATATCTAATTTTAACGATATAAGTTTTTGGTATATTTCTTTTTTTAAATTTTGCGAAAAATCAAATGCCATTTTTTTAATATTATTGCGTATATTTTCAGAATTGATGGTTAAATTACCACCCAATCCTACAATTATCGGATCTATAATATTTCTAAATGCTTTGTCATCAATTGATTTTATTGGTCTCCCATGAACTGTGATTAACTCAGTGCAGGAGCGGATTAAAGTGTCTTTATTAATATTAATTTGTATTGTATTAGTTTTGGTAAAAGCATTTTGAATTGTATTATGATTATTTGCATTTTTTGTTATTGTTTTTTTAATAGTCAAATTATCTTTTTTTTTTTTAATAATTTTAATTCCTTATCGTGGAATCTTTCTATATGTCGTTCAAGATTTGCTGCATGGTCCCCGGTTAAAACTTTACCACAGTTTTCTAGTTTACAAGTAGATTGATTTTTTACAATATCTAATTTAAAATATGATCGCACAGGATTTGACTTTTCCCGAACCATTTAATAGATACTAATATGCTATATGATGATGAATAGATCAGAATCTTTTATTATAAAAATAGAATAAATAAATTTCTTAATAGAATCAGTATAATTTTTATTTATCTTATCTGACAAGATCTCCCTCAAAAATGTGAATTATATGCAGGCCTACCCTTCATATAATTATGCCGATTTTTTCCTCAAAAATACTAACAAAACAAACTTGTACACAGATGAAACTAAATAAGTGAATGGAGCTTACTAATACCATTTTAATAAATAATTTGATTTAATAGAGAAAAGAAAGAAGCAAAAAGATAAGATATAAAATAAGAAGAAAAGAAATAGAAAAGCTGTTTAAAATTCCAAAAACAACTGTCTTTTATTAAAAAATTAAAGTTAATTAAATTAAAACTTTAATGGATACTTTATATTTTATAATTATCCAATTGAATTTCATGTGTTTAAATTTTATTTGGTACTATAAGATTTAGAAGGTTAATCAGTAAGTAGTTATTATTTCAAGAAATTATCCACTAAAGTGTAAATGGAAATAAATAAATAAATTAACCATAAAATATAGGAATATTAATTAACAATCATATGTTTTTTTTTAATTTCAGAATTCTAATATTCATTTAAGTAATTATAAATCATTCATTATGAAAATATTAATTAATAAGAAATTAATATAAAACGGTATTTTATTAAAAGTAATCAGTACCTGATTTTCTTTATATGTTAGTTAGAATTATGATTTTTCCCAAATTATTAGCAAGTATTAATAAGCTAATTAATAACTAATATACATATATATATATATAAGAATAAACTTGTTAATTTAAAGAATAGTCTTGTTTGATTTTAAGATTCTTATCTAATTAACTGGTAATTCGCTTAATCTCTATTAAATTGAGTATTTATTAAAGTGAAAAGAAAAAACAATAAACATGGTGGTATTAATTGACATGTAAAAAAAATTCAATTTGAAAAGAAATAAAGAGTTTAAAAATTTCCCCAAGGAAAATTCAAATTTCAAATTTAGGTTAATAATGTTTAAATTTAATTATTTTTAAAAACCGTTTTGAACCGGTTTAAAATATTTATAACGGTTCGGTTCGCTCTTTTTATAGTTTCTTTATAACGGTTCGGTTACGGTTACGGTTCAGAAAATTATAACGGTTCATTCCGGTTTGGCGGTTCGGTTCGGTTCGAAACCCTGGTTGAACGTGTGTTTAGTACGGCGAAAGCTGCGTTGAGCACTAAGCGCTCTTGTTTATCTGATCAAACATTTAAAATTAATTGTTATTAATAAACTAAAAAATGATACAAAAATATATCTTATAATATATTATATTATTTTTGTATTATTTCATTTAATAATTATATATTGAAAAAAAATTATTATAGGATTTTATCTTATAATATATTATTTTTGTATTATTTCATTTAATAATTATATATTGAAAAAAAATTATAAGATTTTATCATATAATATATTATTTTTCGCATAATTTTTATACTATATATAAGGGGGAAAAAAATTTCTTGTATATAATATTTAATTTTTTAACAAGTTACTTTTTGAAAAGCCAGTAAAGCGCGTTTCCTTTTACACAAGGTAAGGAGTAAGTAACGCGTTCCTTTTTTTATACATAACGAATAACGCGTTTCTTTTTTGAAGTATCGTTTACAACTTTAGTTCAAAATTTGTTTTATTGGAATCTGCTTATTTCATAAAAAAATAATATTCCTCAAAATTTTAATATCAATTCCAAACAGGAATTACTTCAGGAACTAATATAGTAAAATTAGAACGAGTATTACTAGTTTCCATTTTACTATAATTTGGCATATATATATTTTATTATATCTAAGTTTATATATTATTTTAAAAATATATCTAAAAGTTTGTCCTCAGGTTATATATATCTAGTGATAGAAGCCTACGCGGGATGTCTGAAGCTCAACCTGAGGGATAGGTTCTAAATCGCTAAAACAAAAATCGCTAAAAATTGGGAACCTGGCTTATATCTCCTAGAAAATTTTTAAAGTAAATTTGAAATTAATATTAATGGATACTAGGGGACTAAACACTTGTATTTAAATTGAAAATTTAAAAAAAAATCGCTAAAATGGAAGAAATAAAAAATCGCTAAAATGGAAGAAATATCGATATTTCTTCCATTTTAGCGATTTTTTTTAAATTTTCAATTTAAATACAAGTGTTTAGTCCCCTAGTATCCATTAATATTAATTTCAAATTTACTTTAAAAAATTTCTAGGAGATATAAGCCAGGTTCCCAATATTTAGCGATTTAGAACGGTAACCCAAACTGAGGCTCGGGTTCGGACATAGGATATTATTCCTCGTGCTTGGGTCGTAAGAGGTGTTCGACCCGAAGCCCGACCAGATAAATAAATATTAAAAATACAAATATTCTCAATACATATTTATTTTGTTTCATAAAAATGTCAATAATAATAATAACATATTGATTCTTTTTAATATGTACCTTATTATATTTTTTTAGATATTATTTTCTCTATAAAAACAATTAAATCATATTTTTTCGATATCAATCATGTAAATTATTTTATATAACCACAATAATTTTTAATTTGATTGTATTTTAATTACTTTTTTTATTAGACTGAATAAAATTTATATTGTACATATTAAATAAAATACAAATTTATATGAATATTGCAAGGACTCGGAATGAACCGGAATAAACCTGTAAATATTAGAACCGTAACCGAAACCGATATAATAATTTTTTTGAAGGAATTAAAATAAGCTTTACAAATGAAATTAAACCTAGTTCAAACCAAAATATGATAAATAATTTTACATTTCTTTCGTTTACATTCTTTTCCTTGTTTACTATATTCGCATCGTTATAAGGTATCAATCCATTTTACAATTATCAAAATGATTGTTTAATATCCATAAGAAGTATGTATTAATTTTTCCAATATGACTTAAATCGATACACAATCTTTACTGCTTCTTATAATATTAGAGCCATATTCCTATTTTCTCTATTTTAGTATGCAAAATATCTAAATACCCAAATTATTGGGAGTGTACCGATATTACTTTTTAGAGAACGATACGATTCGATATTAAATTGATATCGGCCAATTACCGATCCTGTATCATATCTGATTTTGTATTCAAACATACTAATCGTTTTAATTTTTAATGCATATAAATCTAATCATCTCATATACTTTTTAATAGTATAACAACTAGAATTAAACTATACCATATAAGTCATTTAAATTTATTATAATGATCAGTTATGGTTTATATTCATGAACAACAAGTATATAAAATATTTTTATTGATAAATCACTTATTTATATAATAACATTTATCTATTTAAATAGATATATTTTAATAAATTTGAAATTTTTTTAAATTTAGACGCCATTTTATTGGATCGGATAGGTAAATTTTAGGTTAATGATGCTTGGTACCTTAAGGTACCATCTATCAAATTTGAATTTTGTTCATTTTTCATTTGGATAGGCACTACCAAATATATTTATAGTATATATTTGAAAAATCGTGATTCTTAGAAAGCTTCTATGGCCTAGTAGGCAAGAGCTTGGTTTACTTATCCCATACTCCCGGGTTCGAATCCCGGGAATGATCATGTTTTTTTTCTTATTCTAACTTGGTGGTTCCATCCTTGGGGGGATAATATATAGGAGGCCGGACTCGACCACGTGGTATTAATATATTAAATAATAAGGATCTTATTACATTTTAATAAATTTTGGTCGGTAGCAAATTAGGTTGGTATTTAGAATATTTCCATACATTCACTTGGTAGTAAGCATCATTAACCTAAATTTTATAATGCCGATAACAGATATCTTAAAAAAGAAGAAATATCAGCTCGATCCTATCTGATAAAAAATATCAGTGCATCTCATTATAGATTTTTGATTAAGTTGAATTTATTTAATTAATGAAATTATATCACCATCTACCCATGAGTAGAAATATTTAATTTTTAAAAAATAGTCTTAAAATTTACCAGAGAAATTCAAGCTATAATAATGACGGCTAGAAAAAAGGTAGCGTTTGAAATGATTAAATTCTTAGAAGTAAAGAATGTAGATATAAAAAAAATATTTAGCAACTTTAGGTAAATTAATGAGAATTTAATAATATCAAATTAAATTATTATTCAGAAATAAGGCAAATTTTGTTTTTGTTTTTATGTTCTAAAATATTTTTTGTTTTTGAATGTGATCTTTAGGTTTTGAAATATTCAAAAAAATAATTATTTTTGCTTTTTAAAATTTTCGTAATTTAATTATATGGTGTTATTTATATTGTCTCAATGCTATTGTTTAAAAGAAATAAGTTCTTCGGGTACATCTTTGCAACCTTAATTATATAATTTTGCAATATCCAAATATTTCTATAAGGCTGACGCATTATATAATTTTAAAAAATTATATAAAATATTCCAGTAAAATATATTCGCCAAGAATTATAATTAAAAGTATAATAATAAATTAAGCTACCTTTCAATGCTGGTCCCATTATCAAAGTTGAGTATTTTATCATCCCTCAGTAAATTTTCATCGTTAATAGAGCAAGTATAATCAATGGTAACATTATCAACACTAAATATATTATTATAATTATTGATATCGGTAAGACTAGAGCTAGGACTTGACAAATTTTGACGATGATTATTTTCGTAAGTTTTTTTGGCTAAGAAACAATCCAAACAAGCCGAAAAGCCGCACCTAGGGCACACTAAATGCCTGTTAAACAAGGTGGTCTGGCATACATCGCACATTTCTCTCACAAATTCAACGGGGTTTTTCCACGCACTCTTAATGGCCCCTGATCCTTTAGGATTGAGCGGCAAATCGTAAACAAGATTGTTCAATAAGGGTACAGGACATGGAGTAAGGGTTGATGGAAGAACTACAATAAAAGAAATCGTGATTATAATTATGTAAAAAATAGGGATTGTATTGATAATTTAATATATCGGCCGATTTATTAATTTTTTTTTAATTAAGTAATGGGTTGATCGTTATACATCTATCAATCCGAAATAATGTGGATAAAAGAATTCGCGTACCTTATTAAAAGATTGAATTAATTTTTTTCAATTGCAAATCAAACTGTATCTAGAAACCTAATAAAATATCATTTGAAAACTTACTGCAAATTGATGTTTAGAATTAGTAACTGTAATTAAATACAATTTAAAAAAAAGGAATTCATCATTTCAATTACATTTATGATTATAATTTTCTTGAAATTAATTACATTTTATGAAAAATTAATAATTGCAATCATAGTTTATTTTATAATATTTGGCCTAATTTACTGAGATTTAAACAAAATGATATAGGATCATTAATAATATCTAAAGCTGCTATTATAAACAATCCTAAATGCAAAAATTTGTCTAAAACAATCATTATTTTTTTAAATGTGAGAGTTTGAGATCTTCCACAAATCTAATTAATGATATTTAACTTGAGCTTACCTATAAAAGATGAATGAGATATTAATATGCTAGAAAATTTTCCAATTAAAAGTGGCTTTGAAATATAACATATTGTTGATTTCATCACTCTGTAACCATACTTAATAAGTATAATAATAACACGTTTAAATAAATACCTATATAAAAAATTGATACTTTAAAAAAATATTCAATATCAATTCAAAAAAATTAATATCAGTTGTTGATTATGGTGGAAATACAGTTTAAAATATCAATGTCTAATATTAATGATGTTCCATTTTGTAACACAGAATTTGATAACATATCTAATGTGTAAATATAATCTTTATAATTTATATGAAAATTCTTATCTTGGTATTACATATTTAACGAGTTTTATATATTTTTTTTAAACATAAAAATACAAATTATATGGTTATTATATTATGACATTCGTTACTTTGAATTCATAGTGGCAGCCGCGATAAATACAAAATACAGTAAATATCATATCGTTTATAGTTACCGATCGTGCGACTTGAGTCGCTAAAACTAATCTCAGCGATTTTTTTTAAATACATATCAATTTGTGTTTGATTTTGAAATATTGATTCGTTATATACTGCCTTTAGTGAATGTAGCAAATTATTCTACCTTTAGCGGTAATGAATTTAATGACTACCTTTTTTGAAGATATCAAACCTATGAATCAAGATAAAATGATCATTTAAATTATAATATTTTTTGAGAAAATAGATAAAACAGCATTTATATATTTGTGCAAGAGCATAAATGATTATATAATAAATAAAATATTTAACTGACCTCATTGATAGTGTCAAAAAGTTTGATGAGAGTGATAATACATTTGAAGATGTAATTATTCTCAATAGTCTTGCATTCATTAAACTTGGCATTCAGAATGGTGATTTATAATATCTAAAAAAGTATATTATTTACATGTAAGATATCCTCTGTTGAATCTCGTAGTTCTTATAAATATCCTAAGAGAAAAGGAATGCCATTGGTAATTTAAATTTATTATTTGCTTTATAAAAAAAATTAAAAATAGATGTTTAAAAATCTACAAGAAAAAATTAAAATGGAGAGAATTAAAAATCAAAACAATGAATATGATGGCATATGTATTATGCTGAAGGAAGAATTGTATAAATATTTAACTAATCAAAGTTTTAATGTTATTTACAATTAACTCATTAATTTCATTAATTATATATAAATTAAATTATTTTGCATATATATATATTATTTGTAATATAATTATTTTGTATATATTTTTATGATTTCTATCTAATAAAATTCTTAAATTTATATACCTTATTTTCTATATTTTTATGATTTCTAATAAAATTCATAAATTTAAATACCTTATTTGCTATATTTTTATATAAAATTATATACTATAGCTTTTTTAGTGACATATTCCTACATATATATTTTTTAATGAGTTTAGACTATATTAAAGGTGAATTTATTTAAAATATCACTACATATAACAATTTAACAAATGTATACATATGAAATCCAAATAAGGTAAAATTATAATGAATATATATTTTTAAAATAATATAGAAAAATCTTTATATTATAGGTTTGTAATGTCAAAAAATATTTTGAAATATTTAATAAAAAATATCACTATAAAATGTAAAAACAATTTTGAAAAAATATATAAAATACAAAATAAGGTAAAATTTTATTTGTAGAAAATATAATATATTTTTATAATATAGGATGTATAAATAAAGGGCTACCCACACAGTTAGGTAAATTTTATTTCTTTTCAAAATTATTTGTTATCCTCTCAAGAGTGAGAGTAGTTGCATATGAATGCTTACTAATTGCTATATAGCTAAGCATGTGGTCCTAATAAATTTTTGGATTGTTGAAATCTCCATTTGAAGAAATAGACCAAGCTAAGATGGTTACATCCAGTGGCTAAATAACAAGATAAAAAATTTATTTAATTATTACCTAAGACAAACCATGCGTTTTTTTTTATGGTTATAGGATATTTAATAAAATTAGGCTGCGGTGTAAACTGATTTTATATGTTTTAGTATGTGATAAAAAAGTTTCCTATATAAGATCGAATAAATAAATATTTTTGCCATTCTCATATAATTGTAAAATTTAGCCTGATTTTTTAAAGAGTTTAGGAAAGAGGAGGTAAAATTTACCATCCTTCCTTTTATTAACATTGAGATTGTTTAATGTTCTCTTTTTCATCATCATTTTGTATAAAATATATAATTTGATGGAAACCATTATAATGAAATATTGTTAAAATCGCTTACAATTACCAGATGTTAAATTTGCACTATGTATGAAAATGCTGGTATTGATCCAGCTGATATGCTGCTGCGATATCGCGGCTAAGCAATAGCGCTTCACTATGAATTCAAGGTTAAGATGAAAAGGATTGTAGTATAATTATAATTATTTTATATAATCATAATTACATGTAATTTTAATTTTTTATAATCATAATTACATGTGATTAATTTGAGGAAAAATTGGATCGGATTGACTTTTTCCCAAACATGATAGAACACATTTCTGGTACAATCAGATTTTAAAATTTAAAAAAAACGCGCTCAAAAAATGTTAAATTTGAAAAAATAACCTATTACGTAAAAAAACATTCCCACGAACATATATATCGATATATAAAATTTATATTAAAAATTTATTTTTAAAATAAATATAAGAAGTTAATTAATTTTTTCATAAATTTCAAAATATATATTTATATATTTTTTCAAAACATTTACAAATATATTTTTAATAAATTTTAAAAAAATAATTTTTATAAAGTAAATATTATATATCGATTATAACATTTAAATTGCATGAGGATTCTAAATGTAAATATATATTTATTTATTAAAAATGTTCAATTATTTAATTTCATTCAATCTTTGCCCAGAAACTGGAAGTTATCAATATTATTTTTTTTTTATTTTCTAGATTTTGTCTAAATATTTTTATGAAAAAATTATATTTTTAAAATTTCTATAATTTTTTTAGCTAGAAAACGTTTCCTCTATTTTCTAGATTTTGGGATAAAATTAAATTGGGGAATGCCGAGGCTTCTAAGTTAAAATATATCATGGCAACATTTTTGTCATTATTCATTTGACCGACTTTTCGTTGTTTTGAAGAAATTTTATTTTAGCATGATTAAACTCTAAATTAACTCGTAATTGAAAAAATCTGGGTAGGAATACTATAAAACATTTTATACATAATCTTTAAATTAAAATTTTCTGTGTATAATCTTTAATAGTGTTATTTCTTCTATACTTAGAATATTTGCCACTTTTATAGGCTATTGGAATATTTGAAATATTATTTATCTTTTTTTGAAGAAATATGAAATTGTTTGATGAAGATATATTTAAAGTTAGCAGAAATTTTTTTTTAGTTAGAATAATACAAAACAAAATTTTTGCAAGGAAATATCAAATTAACCCTAACTCTACTTTTTACAATGCGATTTAAAAAAATTATTTAAAAAATTGTTAGTATGTAATATTAACATTATATTTTTAGAACAATATTTAAATTGTGTTGAAGACTGTCAATTAATTGATGAAGTCCATAAAATTAATATTATGTATAAAATATCATATTTAGAAAATTTTCTAAATTTTGTTTGCTTTAAAAAGGATTAATACATTTTTAAATTATTGTTGTGCCCGGATTTAGAAAAAATTGTCATTTTAAATTTATATCTTGAGAACTACATTACAATGGAACATTGTTTATTCTCTTTATTCGACTTATGAACTTAAACTTTTTAAAAAAATTCTTTGAATCTTGCCGAACCCGGGATCAAAATGTCTAAACCCGCATGAACCGAAACCCATCTTTAAAAAATTTCCGAACAATAACCCATATCGAGCTCGACAAAAAAAAGCATGATTCATACATTTTCTTTTTTAAACTTCTTTTCTTTATATAGTAGGTTTTTTAAATTCAAGACTTTTTAAAGGGGGGGGGGGGTACTTAACCCAATAAATATAAATAAAAACCATTAGAATGATTGGAAAGACAACTTGATAGGCAGCGATTCGAAGTACATAGGTCGTAAAAGGTTTGAAGAGCTAGCGCCTCCGCCTCGATAATGTTATAAAAATGGGGTATCACGTTTTTAAACAAATACAGGGCGTCAGACTCGGAGTTTTTGAGATGATTATCATTATCCATATTTAAAGATGATGATGGGAAGGGCAACCACACACGTAGATCGTCCGAGTTAGCTTCGTGGGTTTCGGAAAACCCAGCGACGCTTAAGCCACCCTTGCCGTTTGTTTTGAGTCTTGAAGAGATAAAAATTTATTAGATATAAATTTAATGAAATTTATGATTATTGTATAAATATTTTAAAAATAAATGATCACATTTTAATTTAGGTATCTAAATTACTATATCCCTAATTATTTTATTAATCTTATAACCGTCAAAGTTTTTTTTAATAATAAAAATAATTTTTTTGAAATAAGAGTTAAATAGGAATTCAATTTGCCATTGTCTGTAATCCTACGAATTTCTAGATTAATCAAATATATGAAACGAACTTTGTTATAAAACGAATATATTAATTGAATCAAAATATTATTAAAGTATTTTAATATGGTTCTTAATCTTACATTTAGCAATCACTATAAATGAACAAAAGTATTGGTTTAGAGAAATTCATAAATTATTAAATCCATATGAAATTAATAATGATCCAGAGGTTTTAAAATGTTTTAATTAAAATAACTTTCTAAATGCATAAAAACGGCAAAAAATGTTCGGGCGCTCGAGTTTTTGAGAAGACGATAATTTACATTCCCAGCATTTAGGAAGTTTGGGGATTATATTGTTACAAATTTCTTTTTGGAGAAATGTTTCATATGTGTTATCATTGACACCTTATAGTTAAAAAAAAATATTATGTGTATAAATTTAATGAAGGATATGAATAAACGAATAACATTTATAAATTGTCAAGGTTTATATTAGGGCTGCATTGATATCAGAAATAGATCGGTATTGAATCGGCGCCTATATTATTTTTCAAGAAAATATTGGATTGGTTACTATTTTGATAAAACCAAACTGAAATATTTAAACATTAATTTACATTATATGTGCTAATTTAGTGTTGTTAATGTAATTAGCCATTTTTTGCGGAACTTTAACTACAACTTATTAGAATTTGAAAAATATAACTTAAGCTTGTAATTAAGTTATATTTAAAATTTTGTTTAATTAAAAGTGTTAGATGCTTTTTAAAAATGTGTTTTAATTTATTTATTTAAGATTTAAAATTGTTAAGAATTTTACTATTACTTTTATATATAAAACTATATTATACTCTTCCCCGTAAAATAACATTTTTTCGTAACCAATTATTTTATATTATTTATGATTGAATGATTTAGTAATTAGGGAACGAAAACGTAATTAATCAGTGAATAGGGGTTAAGGAAGCCAGGCCTTGCAATTATTTAGTTACACACAGAAATGAAAGCCCAAGCGATGGGAAATGAGGTTATAAGGCACGAAAAAATAAATTGGAAAAATGTAACCATTTAGGTCTCAATAACTAACACTTTTTTTATTAGATAGGACTTTTTCTGGGATAGTAGCAATTGTGTTGGAAAAGATTATTAAAGTGAAGGCCAGAAAATAGGTTACGAAATAAGATCTTTAGTTAAGAAAAATAATGGTGACTATTTTAATCCCACATGACCCAGTAAAACTTCTTTCTTACCTTATTCTTTGATACTCCCAAGCCGAATGTTTTAAGGATAATTCTCGTGGTTAAAAGTTTATCTGATTGCATCTATGTCCTCTTTCAAAATTTCAACTTAGGAAAGGAATGGCTCAGATATTTTATAGCTTCAATACTTTCAAAGTACCTGATAGAACCCTTGCTTAAATCTCTAACACAGCATATTAAAGATGCTGCTCTTAATACTGATCCACACCTTCTTGTTAACTTTTCATCTACCAATTATTGCACAGAGAAAAAAACATCCCTTATTAAGCAAGGTCAAACTTATCTCCAAAAAATGATAACTTAAATATCAAAGGTACAGTTCGATTAGCATCCACCTATGATTCACGCTGAACCTTCTTACATTCCCCCACCATCATTCCAAATGATTTTCAACCTTATTTCATTCGCGTGACTGAAGTCGCATAGGAAGAAGTCAAAAAAGCCATTTGATTCTGCCCAATGTCCTGATGTAATTCATTCTATATTTTTACAGAACATTTCCTCTCCATTATATGCGCACAGGCTTCAATTTTAGTTGCTAACTAACCTTTACAGTTAAGGCTGGGATGTTCCAAGTTTTACCTCTCATTCTTTTTGGTGCATGACTCATTGCCTTATAAAAATCCAACAATTATATCATGCCAATAGCTATAGGTTCAACCTTTCGGCGTCTTGTTGCCAAAATGATTTCTGCAAGAATAAAGCATGATTTTTGAGTTCGTTTCAACTTGGTGTTTAGTGAGTGGTTGTGAGACCGTGGTTTACTTGACCCAAATTCATACCTCAAATAAAATCGAATAAGGTCGACATAATACCCTGTTTTGACATCTTTCTTAAATCCTCGAGCACTCTTTTCCCAGATATAGCAGATTTTTCCATTCTTGCTATCAATATCCTGCCACAATACAATTTGATTATTCAAAAATTCCCTCCATAGAGGGGTTGAACTGGGTAATCCTCTCGGATCATTGCTATTTTGTCTCGTAATAAACGATATGATCAAGGAAATCAATACCTTATGCTCCCTTTCTCTCCTTATCTGGTACATCCACGATGGTACAATCTGTGGCTCATTCAAAGAGGTCAATAAAGCGATTGATATAATCTTGGAGATTAATTTATCTTTAGGGCCTATTCTCAATCAGAACAAATCTGAATTCATCCATCTAAACTGCTCCTAGCCAAATACCCACAATTTTAATATCATTAATCAAAATCAATTAGCAATACTTATTGGAAGGAACTTGGTCGTTTGCACCTTTCTTCATTCAACTCTTGAAACTCCTTGCAAGTTGGGTGATATCTTACTCCTATTTTCCTATCATAAATCGTTTTTCCATCTAAATTTTTTTAATATACTGCACATTCTTTATGCTCTTAGGATTACCCCTGTTTTTAAATATCCCACTCCCTTAAATGTATATGAAACTGAAAATCAAGATAATTACCGAAGAAATATTAAATCTTAAGTTTGGGAAAATAGTTTAGGCCCATGGCTCTCTCCTAACAAAATTTGGAGTTCTTAACATCAGATCTCCTTATGATTTAGCATTAATTACATTTATCTCAAGCTGCTTATTACCAAAACCTTGTAAACGCTCATACTACCGTGAATGATTCCTCCTACACCGATGCATTAGCTTAATTGAGATCTTGGATTCATGATAATACTTTACCAGTCACTTGTAAACAAAAGGAATGGTGCCTCCCAGTCTTAAGCTTTAAGAAAAACACATAATCAACTGGTGCAAAAGAATTTATTGGGGAAATTTATTAATAAATATTTAATGAAAGATCTTTATTTTCAAAGCAACTTATTAGAACGTCTTTACTTGAATCTATATTTCGATCCTCATCAATTTCTTTCTATCATTATAAGAATTTAATCTTAATTCATATTTTTATCTTCATATATTTTTTTTTAGAATTGAGGTTGAAATATTTCAATTAAGGTACAATTTACACTTACAAAGTGTAGACTTAGTGCCTTTGATTGATTCAATATTAAATAGATTATCAATCTTGATTTTGTAAAATTCAACAAAAATTCTATTGATTTAAAAAAAGAACTTTGGTGGTTGATCTGAATTAAAAAATTATTTGTAAAATTTAAAAAATAAGAATATAGATAAAAAAAAATATATTTTTCCAAAAAATTTTAGGTAAAAAGAAACGCTTTGCTTTTAGGTTACTCAAAAAAAAGAAACGCGTTACTAGTTACCCTTTAAAACAAGTAATAAATGGCGTTCCACAACGTTACTTTCATCAATATTAATTTATAGCAATATATTTGTGGAATAAAATCAGAAAAGATAAGATTTTTTTCATTAAATCGTCTTGTACTGATTTTGTAATTAAAAGATTATATTTCAACATAAATTTCTATTCAATTTATGCCAATTTTCGTAGTGTAAACTTATTTGGTTAGTAAGAGTCATATGGATTATATAAAAATAATTATAGAGAAACTAAAATGTAGAACACCAAATAAGGGTATAATATGTATATTTACAAAAATAGCTAAAATCTTAGTAAAGGTTTAGCATAAAAAGCTGGTCAATTTATACAGATATTAATTTCTAAGAACAGTATTATTATTTTTGTTAATGGAGCATATAATAAAAATGGACAATTTTAGTAAGTCAAATTACGGAACTCAATTTATTATTATTACAAAAAAGGGTAAAAACCTTAAATGATCGCTTATTAAAAATGGTCAATTTGGAATCAACAAAAATCGTCAAGAAACCAACTAAGCTATAGACTAGATTACAAAAAAAATATACTTTTAAAAAGGACCAAATTTATCAAAAATACTAAAAATTTCCCCTATTCCAAAAAAACTAAACTAGGACGATTAGGACTCTATTTAACTAAAGTGCCACTCTTATTTTGTTAAAAATCATTTCCATTTTCAAAAAAAGATACAATGTTTTTAAAATGCACTAAAAAAGTAGAAAGATCGATTCGATACTCAGGGTATCAGCTGATCCGAGTAGCCGATAGTGTGGCTAAATGGGATTTAAGCCGATTTTAAAAACGGCTCATTTTATCACGAAAAAATATTACGTTAGTCTGAAGATTTTGATCATGATAAAAGGTTTAGAAATCTATTATCGAAATTTCGAGGCTTAGGGAATATTTTTCTCTAAAATATTGATAGTTGTTTTTTAAAATCGGCTTGCCGTTTAACAACACTAGCCTACATTAAGTTTGCTATGAATTTGTAAAAACAATATATCTACGGTGTTAAGAAGGAAGGTGCTATTAATTTTTTTTCCTTCCCTATCTTTTTACTGTTAATTTTATATGATTTTATAAATACATAAATATATATGATCATTAGTATTTTTGTATTGGTATCGTAATCTCGATTGATACCATTTTGATATGGGCTTAAAAAAGTCATAGTCACTATGATATTGCAAAAATCACTAATTATTGAAAGTGACATGATGTGATTAAAAAAACTAATACATAAATAAATTAATTAATGTTTTTTTACTTTTTATGGTGAGCAAATTATTAGAATCGTTATGAATATGTTTGTTGACAAAACTTTTTTGATTAAAGCTGTTGGGGAATAATTCAACATTTTTATAACTACAAGTTGTAAGACTTATCAAATCAGAACTAGCATATGAAAAAGTACCATGAGGCTTGTTTACTCTAAGTTCAGATACTTTTGCTGACAGTTCATTATCACCGCCACGAATTTGCGTATTAAAAGTCTGCATATTGTATTCGTGATTTGAGGTGGTCATATCTAAATATCCACCAGGGTTAAAATTAGTGAAAGATATCGAGCCAAGGTCCTTGCGTGGCCTGCCGCGACCTCTTTTTTCATTGGAGTTATTTAAATTATTGTTATTATTAGAGTTTTTAGTAGTTTTATTCTTGATAAGAATTTCTCCCTTTCCAAATGGAGTGGTGCTAGAATATAAAGTCGGTATTAAACACGTTTTATCCGGGGACGCGAAATTATATTCCGATGCGTTATACGTTTTATTATGAATGTGACCTATATTTCGGTCACAATATTCATCTATTAATTCAATTTTATCTAAGATTTTAGTTTGATTTGCGTTAGTGTTAATAAAATCTTCTTCAGCCTGATTGGAGTACCTATGAAACCATGTGTGTTTCAACTTTAACTTCTTGTGAATTATAAGCGAATCATTTTGATCGCTAGTTTCTTCCATGCTTTCAAGTTTTGTTTTGCTAGCCTCACTATTGTTACATGGTATTTCTGAAATAGTGGGGTCGCTATTTTTATCATAAGAAATTTGGTGAGTATAAGATTTTGGATATGTGTTTTTTCTATCGTCATTCAAAATTTTGGTAGTTGAAGGTTTGAAACTTTCTTTTTTAATTTTTTTCCCAACGAGCTTATAGCCTTCCTTAACATCCTTATAACCATGTTCGTGATCGTCGTTACAAAGAAACGCAGAATGAACAGCTTTTTCTATGAAGCTCTGGAAAGAGTTGTTAATTTTCGAGAGATCATCCGTCATTAAAAGCGGGCTATGCAGGGTTGTTATCAGGCTTTTTGCACTACTAGGAGATGCGTCTTTGGGAATTTCCTTTGATGGTGTTTTATTAAGACGATGAGTTCCGATACTGTAATTAGTGTGACTGAGATTTAATGGCTGGTCTATTTTATTAGATATATGATTACGTTCATTTTTATTATCCATTATAAATTGTTTTTGATCCTTATCAATACCATTACATTTAGGTTGTTGAAGTCTATTATTCTGTGCATGATTCGTGATACCATTCAACATGTAAAAAGGTGGAACATGGTGAGGCGTGAGTGTGGGTAGATAAGGAAATGAAAGCGGAAAATTGTGAGTTAGTAAGTGTGGAGCCATAAGGGAGGATGGCATGAAAGGCAGGGCTTCATTTTGATTGATGCTTAAATTTGGGATGTTGTTGGAGTGAACAAAAAAGTTACGGAAAATATTGTTATTAACAATGTCCGTGTTATTATAACAGCTGATATATGGATTATTAAAAGATGAGAGATTATTGGAATAATTATTCAGTTTGTGAATTATTTTATTATTCTCGGGATTGTTATAAAGATATGGCGTATTGAAATTGTCGGATTTGGAAAAATTGTTGTTGGCAAACAGGCTAGTATTGAAATTGGGGACATTATTATTGTTAGGACATATCAAGGTGGTGTTCGAGAGTAATAAATTATTGATATATTTCATCATGTACCCAGAGTCCAGCAATTTATCGCAATTATTTGATTTAGAGACATTTTCATTGCATTTATTATCTATTACATCATTTTCGTGCAGATAATTGCTCTTTCCATTACAAAAATTGGGCAGCAATAAATTCATGTATGTCTCTTGCAATTTATCGGCGTTATTAGTAAAGGAATTCACGCCTTTATTGCCATTCTGGTAATTGCGCACGTGATGAGACGTGATACTTAATTTAGGGTTGTCATTTGAAAATGTGTAAGTGGGGTTACTATTGGATATTTTAAATAAGGATTCCTTGAAGTGATCATCTACGGCTTCTAAATGAGATTCGCTATAATTTTGAAATATCTTGGGTCGATTGTTATCTCTATGTATCAAATATTTATCTTCCACATTATTATTGTTGGGATTATTATATGTGCTATTATCTAAATTAATATTAAATAATATATTGTTGTCTGTGGGATTTGAGCCATCGAGCGTAGTCTTAAAATTTTGTGAAGTTGTGGCTGTTGTGTTGTAGATATCTGAACTATTTAGGCTATTAATATTGTAAAAACTATTCGTGTTATTGAAAGGTAGAGAGGGAAAGAAAAAATTGAGAGGCTTTGATGTGTTTTTAAGGGGAATAAAGTTATAGTGTGAGGTGCCTAAACCAGTTGCGAAGGCGGAAAATTCCTCGTTATATTTATAATTAAATCCCGATAATACTTGATTGGGATTGTTGGAAAAACTTATAAAGTTTATGTTGTCATTCCTGTCAGCTAGACTATAGTATGTTTTTTCTTTTTCATTGTGTGAGAGATTGAAGTTATGAGTTCCGTTATCTATAGTTAGATTATTAGGGCTATAATTAACTATGTTAGGAGTTCTGCAAAAGAATGGAAACGAATTGGGATAAGTAAGATCTAAAAAAGGATTATCATCTAGTTCTTTGGCAGTGGATAAGGTTTTTGCATTTCCATTAGATGTTAGACCTTTAACATTAGATTCATGGCCATCATAATTGCAATCGGTAATAGGGATCCTCTTATCGTGGTAAACAGTAATATTGCTACTCGGATATTTATAAATATGTTCAAAACCTACGGAAGATATGGTAGGTTTCGACTTTTTTTTCTTGAGATTTAATATCTCGTTACCAGACTCTTGTTGCTGGTGTTGCACGAGCAAATCGCTGTTTTGGATGTTTGAACTAAAATATTTCAGGCTTTCTCCTCGATTAACGCTCTCAAGTGTATCTTGCTGACCAAGGCATTTGTGAATAGCTCTTTCAATAGATTCACCCACAGAAATTTCTCTGGACTCATCGATATTCTCACTTTCGCAATTAGTCATATCTTTTCCCGATTTTATATCACTATGGGACATTGTGTTGTGATGCGTATTAAGTTGTGAGAGATTATTCAGGTTGTATAGTTTAAGGGCGGCCGCATATAAATCGTTCGAGTTTTTGAAATCGTTAAAAAAGGTTAAGCGATGGGCAAATATGTCTTTAGTCCCCATTTCGGTTCTGTTACTAAGGTATGGTGTCTGTATAATGTTTTTTGTATATAGTTATATCATATTATTTGTGCGTTTTTTTTTAAATTTTGATCGAGGAAAGCTTTAAATTATATTTAATATTGTATCAGAGATTCTTAAACATTTTCCAAATAGGCTTGGATTTTTTTTGACCCAGTTTGGGTTTTTAGTTCTTGTCATGATGTTTTTAACATTATTTATGAGGCCGTCCTACCTTTTTTTCATATTTAGGCCCGGTCTGATTTTAATAATTTTACCCGTCCCAGATTTTTGAAATTTGGCTATTCTAAATAATTTGTTGTCATTATAGTTAATTGCTGTAATTTAAATCAAAGATACGTCGATAAAGATCCTGCGTATTGGCTGATATTTTCCATTTATACCAATAACACTAGCCGATACCCAAAAATGATAATAAAATTTATAAATTTTAACTTTCCCCCACCACGTTAACCTGATTATAATTGCTAGCGAAGGTAAACGATCCGGTTCTGTCGGTCCTTACCGAGACCGGGCGGGATCAACGGATGGACCGGTGTTTTTCGAGGACCGCAATCTAAAGCGGTTTTATTAATATTTTAGTTTGCCTTATTATTCAATTTTTATTATTATTTAGTAACTTTTTATTTTATATTACTTTTATAGGGAAGTTATTTAAATTTTGTGATTCTTTTTCTATTTTAGTTCATTTTTAATTTAGAAAGAAAATAAAATGTTTGTCAAAAAAGTATTTTACTTTTAAATTAAATAATTTCATTATTTATTATATTATTCACAATGAAAAAAAAACAAGAATTAACTTAGGTAAAAACAAAAATATTTTTTAAATAACAAATAAACTGAAAGACCTGTCCTAGAATTTTTTTATTTTGAACAACGGTCTGAACCGGTCTTTAATTTGGGGATCGTGGTCTAATCATCCGAAGACCAGATCGTGACCTTCATTATGCATTGAAAAAACTTTAATTTTATAATTATAGACAAAAATGTAGATGTAAAATAAAAAAGATCTTTAAGTTACATTATTTCTAAAAAAATTATATAATGTAATAATGTACGTGTTGATTCATTTCGCCCAAATTTTTTTCGTTATTGCTATGCAAATCTAAAAAAAAAATTATAATGTAGAAAAAAAGAACACATTACAATAAAGTATTAAAACTTGCCTAGTGGATTGTTCCTTTTTGCATCATTCATAATGATAATGAAGCTATGTTGACATACTTGCAAAGGAAAAAGGATTACGAGATCCACTAATGAGTCGCAGCGAATCAGCTTTAAAGTTTTTGACAATAAAAATTACTAATTAAAAATTCAGCATATGGGAATGTAAGATAAGGTTAAAATTAAATAAAAATTAAGTCCTTATTTTTAAAGTTTACATTCAAACTAATCTTTGCAAAACAAATTAAATCTAGTCCCAGCACATCACGCTGCGGAGTGGCCCGAATTTTAAAAGCTTATAAAGAAAGAATCTTAAACTCAAAATATTTATTTTTACTATTATCCAATAATATTAAATATTAAACAATAACTGATAATTTAATGATGATTATGTATTTTATTTTATTTATTACAAAATAATTTCCAATTTTTTCTTCATATTTTTTAAATTAATTTTATAAATGTGATATTCAATAGCTAGTGTTGCTAATGGCTCGTTTTGAGCTGATTTTTAAAAACTGGGCTAAGAAAATATAAACTTGAAAACATTTTATGATTTTACTGTTGTTATTAGAGGTCTGCATTGGGTGGGTTTTTGAACCATAAGACCTCCCACCCAATGTTTAAAAAAAATTTAACCCGCCCGCCCATAGTTTTAAAAAAAAATATACCTGCCCGCCCATACTTTAAAAAAAAATATATCCATCCGCCCGCCCATCAGCCTAAAATTCCTTACCCGCCTGCCCATAAGTCTAAAAAATTTTACCCACCCGCCCATTAGTCTAAAATTTTTTGCCAGTCCACCCATTATTTATAAAAAAAATTTAACCCAAGCCCGCTATTATAAAATTTAATTATGACTATTCTTTCAATTTTTAAAGCATCTAATAAAAATTATTTAGCATTACACTTCTATAAAAAGTTTAAGCATAAAAAAATACTCAATTTAAATTATGGATAATTTATTTGATCAAATAAAATATTTATGAAGAAATATAAATATAAAATTGATATTATATGTAATTATAATGCAAAATTAAATCGACATTTCCTGGATTCAAACACGTTCTTCTTTGTTCTAAAAACTTACAACAATACTAAATCCTCGTTCAGAAGAAGGACTAATTGCAGGAATTGCCAATTTCTTGCTAATCTTAATAGCTTTGGAAAATCTCTTTCTTGTCGTTTCCACCAAAGAAGTTATAAATATACAAAAAAGTTTATTTATTTTAAGAAAAATGATCTTATGATACCAAAAATGGGCATTTTAATTTTTAATATGCAAAAAATTCAAAAAAACAATTTTTTTTAATATTTACTTAAATGATTTTATATTTTTTAACCCGCCCACCCATAGTTTAAAAAAAAATTTCAAACCGCCCGTCCAACTGCCCTCTTAAAAAATTTTTTGCCCGCTCACTTCGAAATTTCGCCCAATTTAGACCTTTAGTTGCTATATCAGGGGAAGCCTATCCTACCCTTAATTGGTCATCCCATCTTATATTTAATTAAATGAGCACTTAAGTCTCTTTGATTAATAAACGCAATTAGTGCTCAATAAAAAATAGAATTTCATTATATTTTAACGAATTTGGAAACTTTTATATCTGGTACATTAGAGTCCAGACTTAAATTGGAATATTTTGAATACCTACCTCAATCTTATAATATCAACTTTACACGTCAGTAGCGTCTCGAGCCTCTTTAAAAATTATAGCCCCCTGAACGAATTTTTTTTAATAGATCCCTAATATTGATAGCTCCCTGAACAATATTTTTTTAGAATTCTATTATGAATTATATATAGATTTCTTATTATTTTTAAAAAATTAATAAAACTATATAATTTTTTACAAAATGAGTGCTATTTTAATTATTAGATTAATAATACTATAATTTATATTTTCATTAAGTTAACAATTGCAATCAAATTCTGTGTTAAAAATGGGGTATCAATATATCACTCATCGTTAGTGTTGTTAATTAGTCGAATTCCTCGACTACGACTTTAACGATTAAATTAGTCGATAAGTCGGATAATTTAGTATATTTCCTTTTATTTATTTTAATGAATTTATTAATTTTTAGAGCCTGGCTACCACCAAATCTAATATTTTTTTAAATTATTATTTTATTAATGGAAAATTAGGTAGATTTATTTTGTTTTCAAATAATTTAATAAAATAAATATATTAAAAATAAATAAAATTAAACATTTTATTCTCTGTCGACTAATCGACTAATTAAGCGGCTTAAGTTTTTAGTCGAATTTTTTGAGTATAACTATTATTTAGTCACTAATCATAGTTATAATAATTTTATATTATTTAAATGTATATTATTATTTTAGAATCATACATTTTATTTTCATATTATATAATTATTAATTTTTGAAATTTGATTAAATATGTCATATTATATGACAACAAAAAATATTTATATATGCAATAATAATATCTTAATATCAATCAAGTATTAACAGTTGAAGCTTAATTGATTTTAATTATTGAAATGTTATAACTCTAATTAAATAAATATAAACATTGATTAATTGATAAAAAAATCCAAATTAATATTGTGATTTGTGTTAGCCGAGTTCATAATCCCTAATCGACTATATTACTCATTTTTAAATTTACTTTGCTATACCACTTCCTAAGAAAATTTCTAAAATCTAAACCAGTATACAAAAATACTTTGTGAAAACTCTAAGTATATTTATAAAACATCTTTTACTCATTTATTTTATATTAGATAATAAAGTGAAAACGAGTGTTAAAAATCAACTAACAATAAAAGGGGATAAATATAATAAAGTTTTATTTTAATTTAAAACATATTGAAATTAAATATGGACAAGTAATTAATTAACAAGATTAATCGTTGTGTTGGAAATTTAATTAAAAATAAAAAAATGTGTTAGACTTTTATTAATTTTTTCTTAAATAAGTAAAAAAATATTTATTAATTTTTTAAATTTTACTTAAATATTAAAAAAAAATGTTTAATATAGAATCTTTATTATCCAATAGTAATATTAATTTTTCCAATTTAATTGAAAACTCCCAATCTTCGTCGAGAATTCAAAGACCAAAAAGAATACACAAATATTGGAATAAAGAAAAAATAGATATAGTTACTAAAATGTTATCAATGCCAGAAAGAGAACAGATGAAAATTAAAGACATTGCAAAATGCGTCGAAATGTCTACAGCATCAGTTCATAAATTTAGACGTGACACATTCCCAGATATAAATGGAGAACCTTTAAAAGAATATAATATTCAAAAAAGAGGAAGTAAAAAAAAAGATACTTCCATAATTGAAAGACTCATCATAAATTTATTGATGGATAATAATACTCTTACTATCCAGCAGATAATAGAAAATTTACCTCCTGGTAGTCCAAGAACAACAATTAGCAAATATATAAAAAATATAGGTTGGTCGAAAAAAAGAGCTGGCAAGGAGCCTGATAGAAGAAATACTCCTGGGGCAATCAATATTCGTCAAATCTATTGTGTAAAGATCTTAAATACCCCAAGAGAAAAATTATATTTCTTAGATGAAACTGGAATAAACTTGCACGTTGTACCAATCTACGCCTGGGCACCATACAATGTCCGTCCAGTAATAAAAATTCCATCCTCTAAGGGTAAAAATGTAAGCATACTTTGTACAATTGGAATTGGAGGGGTAATCCATTATAAAATAATCGAAGGAGCTTATAATGGGTTGTTATTCCGTGATTTTATGACAGAGCTTATCAGTGTCTTACCACGATGCAATTATTGTAATGGATAATGCATCTATCCATAGAAGCCATCTTATCGATGCATATAAAGATAGGATTGAATATCTACCACCATATTCACCTCAGCTAAATCCCATCGAAAATTTTTTTGGAGTCTTGAAAAATAAATATCGAGCAATAAACCCCCGCCCTACTTCAAGAGATGAAATTATTGGGAATATTATTCAGCTCTTACACGGATTTATTCCTTATGATTTTACTAACTTTTACAATCACATGCAAAACTATTTGGAGTTGGGTTATCGCGGGCAACTGATTAATTAGGTAATCCTTTTAATTGATTTGTATTAATAATTATAATATTAACTCTTTTAATTTCTAAATAGGTACCATCATCAAATTCGTGGAACAAAAGAATATTTTGATAAATTATAATTATATTTTTTATGTATTAATTATTTTATCGAAGTTATTACAAAAATTTATAGCATTATCATATTTTTATCGAAATAAATTGGTGCAAAATTTCAAAATAGATTACATTTAAGAAATTCTAAAATATTTTCAAATATCAAAAAGACTTTTTACAAAAAATGATTTAGAATTTTAGATAAAATTTAAACAAAAATCTTACTTGAACATTCTCAAAGAAGATCAAATTTTTTATTACAAATTTATATTTACAACATAATTTCTTTGTATTAATTTAAAAACGATTAATGTTAATTAATTGCTTGTCCATATTTAATTCCAATATGTATTAAATTAAAATAAAACTTTATTATATTTATCCCCTTTTATTGTTAGTTGATTTTTAACACTCGTTTCACTGTAAAGAAAGAAGAGATTGATTTCGATGAATGCTTTAAATAATGGAAATGGAAGCAATTTCTATATTATTATTATTAAGATAAATAGATATAAAATAACGATACCAAAACTAAATAAGTATAGATTATCTATAATATATAAAAGCCGTGAACACTCACAGTGTCACAATTTATAATATATATTTAAATCGTGAATTTTTAAAAGCCTCTGTAGCCAAATCGGCAAGAGCGTCGCGTAAAAATTTGATGACATTGGGTTCGATCCCAGCAAAGATCATTTTTTTTCTTAACCCAATTTAGTGTTTTTTTTTCTTAATCCAACTTGGTGGTTCCGTCTTTTGGGATGGACATTAACTAAATTCCCATTGGACCTGAAAATGTTGTCATTTGCAAACCTCTGGTGGTAAATGCATGGGAAAATAAAAGTGGTAGACGCATATTATTTATAAATGAATTCTTTGGCAGAGGTAAAATGCATTATGAACTGTTGTTTCCGATGTCATCCTAGAGGTCTGCAATGGGCAAGT